GGCGAGCGGCGGTCGAGGCGCTGCGTGGGGGTGCGGACAAAGGGAAGAAAGCATGTGCGGCCCAGCCCAAGCACCCGCACACCTGGCGCAGTGCCTGGCGCGCTGCCGCCGCCGGTGCCGTCGGGGTACGCGCTGACGCGGCGGCCCTCATTGTCCAGCTGGTCGATGCTGAGCTGGCGCACCAGGCCCCTGGCGGGTTGCGCGACGGGCGCGGGCGGGTTGGGTTGGGGACGGTCGGTGGGTCGACGGGGGCGCGCGATGCTGGCGAGGAAAACAGATCGCAAACGGCGAGGGGCCAAGCTGTACGTATTCGAATGCGCTTGGTTTGCATTCACCTACGTGCTGCCTTAAAAGGTGGGACCTGAGGCGTAGGGGCTGCCCCACTCAGCACCACGGCGAGCCAGCGGCGGGGCCAGCTCACCGCCCTTGGCAAGTGCACTGTCTCACTCCTTCTCTTTCTTGCTTCACTCCCTTTTCCATGAACAACCACACATATCCATCCACAGCCGTAAACACACACATGCACACACACACACGCACACGTGAGCAAATCCAATATGCACACGCGCGTGCACCAGCTTCCAGCCCGACGCACCTCAGCGGCGGCTCCATGGGCGCCACCACCGCCCTGTGGTACAGCCGCACGTCCGGCGTTGGCGGCGGGCTGCCGCCCCCGCCGGGCAGCCGCCGCTGCGCGAGCGTCAGCGTCGGGCTCTCGTCGCGCAGCGCGTCCGCCTGCAGCGCCGCGGCGGCGCGCGCCTTCGAGTCGCCTGCGCGTCGATACGGAGAAGACAACATAAGGGCGGCGCGGCAGGGGCGAGGACCCGTGGGTTGCGCTTTTCATTCGGCCGCCCGGCAGGGCTGCACGGCTGACCTGCTGGCAGCGAGGCAGCTGGCGCCTGTGCGGGTGTCGCAATTATAAAGAGGTCGTAGGCAGGCAGAAAAGCAGTCAAAAGGGCTTGCAGGCGGCTCACCGCCTTCCTCCTTGACTTTGATCGCGGCGGCCGCTGCAGCCGCCTCTGCCGCCGCGGCCTCTGCCAGCAGGTGGGCCGCGTTGGTGCTGCCGTGTACGCTGCTGAGGTAGGTGCTCCACGCGGGGCTGTGCAGATTGTGTTTGTGAGGTTAAGAGGGAGGGAAGGAGCGGGTAAGTGTGTGTGTGTTTAGGGCGGGGGGCGGGGTGAAGACATGCCCACATGCAAGAGCATGCATGTTTCGTGTGCATGCCAGGGAGGTACACAACCCAACGAGCACGACCTTCAAGGCTGCCCCAGGCCCTTGCGCCTGACACACAAGGCGAACGCGGTTCCAGGAGCCGCCAGCGCGATGCTGTGCGCGGCGCGCAGAGGGGCAGCCAAGGCGCCGCGGCCGCACCTGCGGGGGTCGCAGACGACGAGCTCGGTGCCCGCGCTGTCGTCAGCCAACAAAAGGTCATCCTGTATGGGATGAGGGATGAGTATGATAAGCAAGAGAGGATTCAGGAGTTGATGACTGCCCCAGACCAACTGGTCCGCGGTGATATGGCGGCGTGCAACAACCGCTGCCACAGCTGCGGCTCGACCTTGACGCGCGCCGCGCCGGCGCCCGGCCGGCCCGTTGAATCAGACCTCCCTTGCGTTGCTCTGCACTCTGCCAAACCCATTGCAGATTTTCGAAAATGAGGGGCGCACCAGCAGCTGGCTGCCCTTGAGGCCACCATACAGGAACACAAACGGCCCCGCGCTCGCGACCGCGTGGCGGCAGCGCCGCGCGGGGTCGTCGCCGCCGGGCGCGTCGCCGGTCGCGGGCGCGACCCAGGCGCCGCCGCTGGTGTCGAGCATAACAGTGCTGGTCGCCTCGTCCACCTGCGCGGCGAGTCGCAGGCGATGTAAGCAACGTAAACGATGGCATGCCGTGCCAAAGACGCCCCCTGCCGGGTGCAGCACCAGGGGCAACCCTTGCCAGCCCAGCAAGCCTCGTGTGACAGCAAAATCTATTGCCCCATCCAAGCGCTTTCGCAGGAGCAGCCCCCTCACGAGCGGAACCACCACCAGTCCCCCTGAGGAGCTGCGCGCAAGCACCCACCATGCGCCCGCCGCCGACCGCGCCGCCGGATATGTGCAGCCGCGCCCCCGCAAACACCGCCCCGTGCTGATACCGCCCCGCCGGCATGCTGCCCGGCGCCGCATGCCACTCCCACCGCCCGTCGCGGTGGCGCGCGAAGCCGAAGGCATCCGCCAGCGGCGTGCCGCCGACATCGCGGCCGCCGCAGAGCAGCAGCAGGCCGTCGGAGCGCGCCGCTGCCGCCGCATACATCCTATCGCATGCAAGGGACGGTGGGGTGTCGGCTTCGCTCGTGAGCAGCCGCTCGAGAAGCAGAAGATGAGCGGGATGCAGGGGAAGCTGCAGCACCCCAACGCCGCCGGGCTCACATCTGCTGTTGCGGCGGGCCGTTCCTTGCAGACACTGGAGGCCTCCAGGTCACAGCTGCCTGGCAGCTACCCTGCAGCTGCCTAGCAGCTGTCCAGCACCCACCTGGGGCAGGGCATGTCCCCAGCATCCGTGATCTTGCGCCACGCGTACGGCTTCTCGCTGGTGTCCAGCGCCCACGCGTCGCCCAGCGTGCTTTTCCCGTCGTTGCCGCCAATGGCCACCAGGAAGCGGTTGGCCACCAGGCTGAGCGTGTGCGCGTAGCGCGCGCTCGGGCCCGCGCCCTGCACCAGAACCCTGCAGACGGTTGGAGCCGCAGCGGCGAGAGCGCCTTTCGCTATGGGCCGGCCTGCGGCTGCCACGCCACGCCGCCGCAGCTGGTGGCTGCCACGCCATGCTGGCGAGCCACGCGCCGCCGACGGTGCCGCTGTGTCCTGTGTTGATCAACAACGGCGTGTTCCTGCTCGCCCATGCCGCCGACCCCGCTCGCCTGTGCCACCGCGGCCGTTCGGGGTCTGAGAAATCCAGCACGTGCAGGTCTTCAGAGGCCAGCCCCGCAGGGCCGATGCCGCCCTGGGTTGACAAAGCGAGGCATCACACGCGCCGGCTGGATCGCCTGTGGAGCCAGCACGTCTCAAGAGGCCGCTTCCGCTCTCCCACAGCCGCTCGCTCAGGCACCGCAGGCGCATGGGTGGGGCTTGTGCTGCGGTTGCGCCTGCATGAGCGCAGACTTCGCGGGACGCCGCGCCCCGCGCCCCGCTCCGCGCCCTCGCTGCCCCATGTGCGCGTTGCGCGCACCTGCACCACCACCATGGAGCCGACCGCAGCCGCCGCGTGCGCAGCGCGCGGCGAAGGCGCCTCCCCGAGCGGCGTCATCTTCTCCCACTTTCCGGTCTTAACGTCGAAAACGTGCACGTCGTTGGTCGCGCCCGCCAGACGAATGCCTGCCGGACGGATGGACAGGGGCGGCGCAGGCGCACGCGGTTGCGGCCGGGCATGGGCGGGCGCTTTGCTGGCAGCCGATGTCTTGCATGCGCCTCTGCCAAGGTGGCATGCCGTCAAACGCCCATGCCCACCTGTAGCTGCAATGTTCGCACCTGCCGCAGACTGGGCCGGGGAGGATCCATCCGCGCTCTTCGAACCGCCCTCCAGGGCGGTGGCGCCGCCTGGTGCACGTGCGGGCGGCGGCGGGACCGGCGTGATCACCCTGACGAGGCCTCAAGCCGCTAGAGCTCCGGCCACCATCGAGACCTCCGTTGTGTGCACTCAAAGACCCACCGAAAAGGACGAGCCTGTTCAGCTCAGCGACCGCTGTGAGACTGTGCCCACAGCGGGGCCCGGGGCTCGCGCCCTCCGCTGGGAAGGGTCTAGGACGCGCCACGGGCCGCGCCGTAGCACTAGCATCGACCTCCATGCGATCAAACGATGCCCTAACGCAAAGGCCCGCGGGTTGGGGTGATCTCGCAGGAGTCTTCAAAGCGCGCGCGAGGTGTGCACTAGGGCTGCATGGTAACAAGTAAGGCAAGCTTGCACCTTTTCAAAAGGGTTGATGCTGTGTGTGTTGCAGAGCCTGGGTTGAGAACGGCTTCGCACCGCCCGCACAGTGCTCCGAAGACTAGTCCTGCTCAAGGGCTGCACGCCGCACGGCACTCGGTCAGCGGTCAAGTGGATGTTGAAGGCAAATCGGAGCTGGCAGGTATGTCTGACGCTCATTCAATTTCGATCAGTGGCAAGGGCTGCTACGTATGCAAGGCCGGGCCGAGGGACACGCCAGCACAGCACCCGCCCGCACGTGGCCTGGGCTCAGCTGTCAGTTGCTGGGCCACATACGTCGGATACCCGTGCACTATGCACCTTGATTACTCGCCAGTGTGTCGGATGTGCAAGTTACGTGCGAGCCTGTATGGGCAGGCGCAGCACTTTGAGGGCGGTGCAAGCCCGCATAGCAAGTGTGACCCCAGCCGCACTGAAGCGCTTGGCAAGCCCGCATGCCCCTCGCCAGTGGTATGACACTGGGGTGTGCGTGGCACCCCACCCAGCTGTGGCGAAGGTCTGCATCACATTGTGGGCATGGGTCCTGTGGACTAGCTTCGTGCTCCCTGGGTCTGCAGCAGCGGATACAGAATGAGTAGTAATCAGATCACGTGCGTTCAACGCTTCAGAGTCGGTGACGTCAATCGCATTTTTTTCCCTCACGTGTTGACCAAACCGGCGATTGTCATGGCCGGAGAATTCGTCGTCGTGCATTATCATGTTGACCCTTGCAAGCTCGCCGCTTCAGTCGGCTGCACGACAATAGAATACACGTTTCGTCTCAAATATATTATTTCCAGCTTGTGGCTCAGTGCACTTGTCATCTGCGCCGGGCGAGTGCAGCGCGGCAGACGGAGCAGCGCGCCGAACGGCGTGCTGCACTGTTGACTTCTCAATATGGAGCTGAGCGGGTGAGGCTGGCCAGGCGTACGAAAAAATTTGGTTTCCAAAGCTACTCTCAAACTGCATAGCTGCAAAGATGCATGATGCATCGGTGGTGCAACACCCCAGCTGCACAGCGGCAGAGGACACGACACCAACCACACCGCGTGCCCCTGCTGCTCCTTCGCATGTGCTTTGTCATGTGCAATCACCCCTGCATTCTGCGCCCCTCGTGCACCGCACTCTCTCAGTCCTGGTGTAAGGGCCAGCGCCGCGGGCGGCCGCCGCGCGGCGGACGCCACTGGCCCTCGCGCCGCCAGCCCCGCCTCGGTCGGTGGCGGCGGCGCGCCGGGCGGCGGCGATCCCTCCAGCGGCGACGACGCGGACCTCGGATCCCTCGAAATAGGTTCCGCATCTTGGAGGCGCGGCTACGGCGGCGGTCGCAGCGGCGGCGGCGCCGCAGGCGGCGGCGGCAGCGAGGACTCCTTTGGGAGCCTGGGGAGTGCGGATGATTACGGCGGCGACGGCGACGGCGGCGATTCCTCGGAATTCGAGGAGTCGCTGCTGGGCATGGATAGCTCGGTCGCGTCGCCGGAGCCGGCGGCGACTGCGCCGCTTGATGGCCGCGCGACGCCGGCGCCGCACAACCCCGGCGGCGGTGGCCTAGACGGCGCCGGCCGCGCTGGGGCGGAGGAGGCGGTTGTGGCGCAGCCGGCGCAAAGGGCGGCCGCTGAGGCTGGTGGCGGCGGTCGCGGCGGGAGCAGCGGTCGGCGCCAGTGGGAGC